TTTTTTTTTTTTTGTAGTTTTTGACCAGGGCTGGGTTCAAACCCGCCACCTCCGGCATATGAGGCTGGCCCCATACTCCTCCTTTGAGGCACGCCACCCATCGAGACAAAGTCTCACTATCACCCTCAATAGAATGCTGTGGCATCACACAGCTCACAGCAACCTCCAACTCCTGGGCTTAAGTGATTCTTGCCTCAGCCTCCCAAGTAGCTGGGACTATAGGTACCCACCACAATGCCCAGCTAGTGTTCCATAAAAGTCTTTGAGCTACCTGGGTCTTGCTTGAAAATGAAGAGAGTCTCTTCTGTCCTCAATATATACTGCTTCCCTAGTGGGGCTACCAATTTATTTGTGGCTCTCATATTAAAAGTATTTCTGGGCTGGGCGTGGTGGCTCATGCCTGTAATCCTAGCATTGTGGAAGGCCGAGGTGGGTGGATTGCCTGAGCTCATGGGTTCAAAACGAGACTGTGCCAGAGCAAGACCTCATCTCTAAAAATAGCCGGGCATTGTGGCAGGTGCCTGTAGTCTCAGCTACTTGGGAGGCTGAGGCAGGGGAATTGCTTAAGCCCAAGAGTTTGAGGGTGCTGTGAGCTGTGATGCCACAGCATTCTACCAAGGGCTACCAAATAATGGGTGGCGCCTGTAGTTCAGTGAGTAGGGTGCCAGCCCATATACCAAGGGTGGCAGGTTCAAACCCGGCCCCGGCCAAACTGCAACAAAAAATAGCCAGGCATTGTGGTGGGCACCTGTAGTCCCAGCTACTCTGGAGGCTGAGGCAAGTTGCTTAAGCCTGGGAGCTGGAGGTTACTCTGAGCTGTGACATTACAGCACTCTACCGAGAGCAATAAAATAAGACTCTGTCTCAAAAAAAAAAAAAAAAAAGGCAGCGCCTGTGGCTCAAAGGCATAGGGTGCCAGCCCCACTGGAAGTGGCAGGTTCAAACTCAGCCCCAGCCAAAAACTGCAAAACAAAAAAACCCCAAGGGCTACCAAGTAAGACTGTGTCTCCCCCCAAAAAACAAAAGTGTTTCTGGGTAGGGCACAGTAACTCTTGCCTGTAATCCTAGTATTCTGGGAGGCTGATGCTAGAGGATTGCTTAAGCTCAGGAGTTTGAGACCAGCCTGAGCAAGAGCAAGACCCTATCTCTACTAAAAATAGAAAAATTAGCTAGGCATGGAGGTGAGTGCCTGTAGTCCCAACTACTTGGGAGGCTGGGGCAGGAGGATCACTTGAACCCAAGAATTAGATTGCTATGAGCTAGGCTGAGGCAATGGTACTCTACCCCAGAGCAAATGTGAGACTGTCAAAAAAAAAAAAAAAG